TTATGGATTGATCGACTAATCTTGTGGCAATTTCGTCGTCCTTATTTTTGGGGTTGTCGGTAGTCCCCATAGACTCAAGGTTCCAAAATTGCTCTATTTTGTTATTAGCTGGCATTTCTTGCGGTGAGCTGTGCACGGCGGCAAGAGAAATGCAGGTTAGAGAGGTGGGTGAAATGTAGTGGGGTAATTCACCGCAAAGCATCGAACCAAAATGCGTTTTAATAATATGTAGATTTCTTCCTATTTTCCTGGATCCGAGGAAGAATCTCCAAAACTCTCTAACTCCTAGTAGAATTTCCGGTTCCCTATTTTTGACGGGAATATTTTGTAAGTCTCGGCGGTTAGTAGGGATCCGAGTTCCATCCCATTGAATACATGGAAATGCCGGGACGATTTGCGGAATTGAGCAGAATACAGCTTCTTCCCATCTCCCATCGGGCTTATGGAGCCTAATTCTATGTCCTGTTGAGCGAAATTTGACTTTATCGGCGCCAAATACGCGGACGGAGTGATTGGAGGTAGAAACCTTAGTTGGTCTTAAACGGTCGACCAAAGATTGAGAAATGTAGGAAGTTTGGGAGCCGGTGTCCCAGAGACCAATAGTAGTATAAATTGGACGATTATTTCCCGAACTTAATTTTAGTTTGCAGGTCATCAGAAAGGTATGCGGTTTAGACCCGGTTGCGGTCATAGCCATTTCTGGGTTGGCGGGAACATTCTGGTTTGTTCCGGGGTGATTTTCAGCATGTATTCGCGAATTGGTATAAGTTTTAGCTGGTTGGTGAGTCAGACTATTCACCGGTGGAAGGTTTTCATTCCCTCGAAAATTATTTTGCTGGTTGGTTGGGTGACTAATTTTTCTTTTGTATTGCTCCCCTTTTTGGCGGGTGCAGATAATAAAGTGGTGCTTGCCTCTGCAATTCCTACATCTTTTGGTCGATGTACACTGTCCTATTTGATGTCCCTCGCGAAGGCAATTTAAACACCTGCGTTGAGCCAGCAAGCGGGTTTTGCGGCTTTCGGGTGTTGGGAATTTGTGGCAAACTGAAGGTAGGTGATCTCCAGTACAAAGTGAACATTGGCCGACATTCCTTTCAATGGCTGTGAATGTGCGGGTAAAGTTGGCTGGAGGAGAATGATCTGGCCGGTGACTCTCTGATTGGCGAGTCGGCTGAATGTCTTCCCTTTGGCTGGACGGGACTTTCAATCTCTTTGTGCACATTTCCACTTCTTCCCTTATTGCTACTTGTTCTAAAAGGAAATTCCTAAGTTCCTTATGTGTCCATTCCCCGGCAGGTGAACTTCGTTCCCTTTCTATTATTTTTTCAATAAGGGTGGATGGAAGTTTGGCCTTAATTGTGGTGACTAGTAGGGATGCGTCTTCTTTTGTGCTGAAATTACATTCTAATTGCCTGCAAATTCTTTCTATTGTGTCGCAAAAGGTGCGAAGTGAGTCAGCGGTGTCCCTTGTAGGTGGTAATTGAAGAAGCTCTGATTGGAGGGCCTCTCTAAGATTGCGGGTGCTACCGTATCTTCCCTTTAAGCATTCCACTATAATAGGGTAATTTTCGGCAATTCTCGGGTATCCCTGGATTGTTGATTCCGCTGATCCTATGAGTGAGTTACATAAATGGTGGATTTTGAGCGCGTCTGGTATGTTAGGGTTGTGATGGATGGCCAACTCAAAACATTGCCAAAAACTGGTCCATTTTTCGGGTTCCCCAGAAAATTTCGGTATTTCCATGGGAGCGATTTTAAAAGAGTCGTATGCTGGATGGCGCGGTAATTCTTGTTGGTTTGCTCGCTGGGAAAAATGCGAGTGCCTGGATTGAATGGAAGCGCTCCGTGATCTAGTCCTTGACTGGAGATTGCCGGAAGTGCCATCACGCTCGACTATTTCATCGATTGTGTCGATGATGGCCAGGGCGTCCGCGAACCATTCGGTAAAATGCTTGTAGCCCGCTAGGAGGGGGTCATCCGGAGCCGGGCGTTGGAAGTTTTGGTAAATTCTTTCCTCCGCCGGTAGGTTTTCTGGGTCGATTTTGCCCATAAATTCCATCCATTCCCGATTTAAATTTTCTATTCTTACGGTATTACTGGCCAACTGCTTGCGAAGTTTGTGTAGTAGTTGTAATTGCTGTTCATCTAACACCTCATGTTGGGCGGTGATGATGTTGGTAGCTTCATTGAGGTTGGTTTTGAGTTGTCTGATGGCTGGGACGATCATTCGGCGGATTGGTCCCGAAGACATGATGGATGAAATAAAGTAGATTTGTTGAGAAGTGACGGTTGATTAGAAGAGTAGTGTAGAATGTAGAGTTGTGATGGAAGTGGGAAGTTCTGACGTTGAAGATCTGATTGGTTGATCTGTAGAACGTAGAAATGATGAGTCGAATTGAAGTGTCGACAGAAGAAGTAGTGTTGAGTTGGCTGGAAGTTGCCTTAAGGGATGAAAACAGAAGAAAAATTTTAATTTAATAAAATTTATGAAGAGAAGAGAAGGCTCCCGGGTCGTGGCACCAAAAAGTTTGTCGCTGAAGAAAACTAAAATGGGGTTGCGGCGCGACAGGTGTGAAACCGCAAATTGTTGTCGGGATTGAATTAGATTGTCCCGGGTAGGTCCCCTCAATTCTTCAAAGATGATCCGCTCTCGAGGGCGAGTGGATGGAACCAAAGCTCTATTGGCGAGCTAAAAATAATGCCTAAGGGCGGCAATTGTTGGAATACCAAATAAGCAAAAAGAACAAGTAAATTAAATATATTTATTCAAAAGGACCTCAAACTTAAACTTGGGTAATTAAACCATAAAAGAAATGAGTGAAATAAAAAACTTAAGTTTGGCCAAAAAGTTAAAAGTAAATTAAATGGATTAAAGGCCAAAACCTAAGTTGGAAAAATAAATAGAATGCAGGTGGGGAAAAATGTGAATAATTGAAGGAGAAAATACACAGAGAATAAAGGAGCTAAAAATAGCTAAAACTTAATGAATAAATAAAATGATTAAATAAGCATAGGAGAAATGATCAGAAATGGGGTTAGCACAAAAGGGTGTGGCTAACAAAAGAGATATGGGCAACTGGTACAAACGATTAAATAAATAGACGGTGCAAAAGATCACCAAATAAAAAATCAAAAATATTTAAATATATTCTGGCAAACGTCGCTTCGGCGACATACCGTGTTTCGGGAGAATATATTTTTAAATTTTATACTATAATTTATTTTTATAAATTTATTTAAAAGTGAGACAGGGCAGGATAATTAAAAGGAAAAAAGCTCGCAAATAAATTTCTCGGCTCGCAAAAGTATCCCTATGGATCTACAGATGCACTTAATAAAAGGACCTCATATGATTTTTTCTGGCTTACACTAATACCTATACCACCGGGTCTGAGCCAATGGATTAGGCTAGTCACTCTTATATTTAATTATATTTTCATTAGCTCCGCAGGCGAAAATTTCTGAGAAATTAAGAACTCAATTGAAATTTTGACAATAGTTAAAAATAAAATTAGAATTCGAAGTTAAAATTAAATTTTAAAACAATTTATATTTGGAGGATAAAATAAACTAAGTCGCAGTTCTAATTTTGGAAACAAACACAAACCTAAATTAGGGAAATTCGAGTTAAGCCTAGCAACTTAACTTTATTAAAATTAAAAGAAAATTTATATACCGTATTTCCTAAAATAAAGCCCCATGGGGCTCTATTTTTCAACTATCCTCCAAAGTGGAGCTCTATTTTAGGGTGGGGTTCTAATTTAGCATGAGGCTTTATTTTAGGAAATACGTTATATTTCATTCAATATTCTTTCCGAATTACAACAAACAAAATTGTCAGTAATTTTAGTGTCCGCTCATAAATATTTGCAAAGAAGTATGTACGGTTATTGACTGGTATGGCCATGATATCCGTCCTTATCTGCGGATATCTTTGGATAGATCTTTATATTTTTTTATAATCTTTATTGAATTAGAAAGTTGAATTTTACAGAGAAATCCAAGTAAATTTTGGATTCATACAAAAAAATATTATCAAGTACTACACATAATATAAAACCAAAAATTAATCGAAAATACTCAAAAATCAAAATTCTGCTTTTTTAAATATTTTTCGGCTTTAAAATACTTTTACAAATAAAATAAAAAAATCACAAAAATTATAAAATACTCGCTTTGATCTACACAAAAACATAAAAAAGGTTGGGAATTTTTATAAGAAAAAGCCTTGGAAAATGTTTTAGAGATCAAATATTAAAGAAAAACAAAAAAAAATATCAATAAATTTAAAAAAGGAAGGAAATTGGGGATGAAAATAGAGATTTAAAAACTTTAAAAATCCTAGGTATTCTCTAATATCCATAGCCTGTTATTATTATTTAATGGGAGAATTTTTAATCGTGACGGGCTAATCAAAGAACAGACAAGTTAAGGAAAAGACAAGTCAAGGAACGATCAACTCATGGAACATACCGATTCAAGAAACAGACAAGTTGTCTGTTCCTTGAGTTGGTATTCCTTGAGTTAGCCCCCACTCGTTTTAATAATCTTTCTTCACCAAAACAGGATTAGGAGTAGAAATAAGTCTCCTGATATCCGGTGATTTTCCATAATCCGCCAAAATTAGACGAGAGTTGAGTTAAATTTTTTTACTAATAATATATAGAGGATGGTTAGGGCCAGGATTGCCCTTCTAATTTAAATTAAAGTAGTTTCTAATATTCCAATATGTTCTCAATTTCCCATTTTAATATTTAAAAAAAGGAAAAAAAAATTAAATATCTTAAAACTGTTCAATCAAAATTTTCTCTTTTTCACATTTATTGACAGCCACAATCTTTGGCCACCATATTTGGTATTTGACGGATTAATACATTATTGTTTTCTTGCACAAAAAGAATCTTAAATTATGAATCTTTTTATGGCAAAAAAATTTTTGAAAACCCCTAACCCTCATAAAATTTTACAAAAAAAATTTTCCGAAAAAATCTTAAGCCTCGCTAAATTTTTTTAATTTTTAAGATTATTTTTTCCAAAAATCCTACAGTAATTCCGTTATATTCTTTTGGGTGACAACATTGAAAGTGGTCTATTTTGGCAGCTGCAGCAGCTTGAAATCGTCCCATAGATGGACTATTGGCCTTAAAATTATTTAAAAATTATTTAATAAATTAAAAAATATATTAACCATTCTGGCACATTCTCCGCTACAAACATAAGCATTATCTAAAAATATTTTTTTTGAAATTTAATTTTTTTCGGATTATTTTGTACGTAATTGGAGAGGACTTTAGGATATTTAAGGGAGATATAGGTATCTTTTTTAAGAATGAAGAGAAATCTAACTGGTTACAACTATTTAAAAGGGTTATTAGGCGGGGGTTTAAAATCTATTAATAAAAGAGAAGCTAGACCTCGGTAAAGTAATTAGCTTTACTGTTCATTATTAATTGAAGTACCTAGAGGAGATCGGGGAATCGATGCCTGTTTGGAGATGAACTTTTATCTCTCTTTTACTTTTAGATCCAAAATTCCCTTATAACCGGTGTATTATTTTATAAAAATAATTTCAACAAAAACGAACATCTTTTAGGTGCAATAACAAATCCCCATCCAATTTTCTCAAAATCTATAACCAAATCGTATAAACAACATTTTGTGTTGTTAGAGCCAGGTTTGCAAGTATTTGCATTTCGACGGGAACGTCCACTTTTTAGATTAGTTAATTCCAATTCAAAGAACATTCGAGAGGGGGAGGAATAAGCAGAATATTTTTGATTCTAGAAAATTTTTTTAGTTCAAAAGTTTTTTTGAATTAACTAATTTTTAATAAAGCCTAGCAGCCTTAACATCTCCGATAGGGACATACTTTCCAAGAAATTGTTATTTCAAAAGTTTTGGGAAGAAGAAGGTTTTTTAATTTCAAATAACAATGAAAAGGTGGGAAAGGTCTAAAAACCTCTTTACGAGATATCCTGCCAAATTCCCTAAAATCGGGAATTCCTATTCGACTTTTAGTGTTGGAATTCCTGATCCACGAATGTAAAAATATTCCCTCTTCTTGAGGAAACTATTTCACCTTCCTATTCTTTAATAGGTAAATGGGGAATTTAGTTTTTTTACAGGGAATTAGTTTCCTCAAGAAGATGGAATATTTTACATTCGTGAATCAGGAATTCCAACTCTAACAGCGGAATCTTTAAATCTTCAACTTCGTCATCGACAACGAAATCAGAAATTTACTTTCAATGTTGGCAAGGTCTCTATGAATTCAGATTTTTATAATATCTCGACTACAGTAACCAATACTATTTTTCCCCTCAATTCCCTCTCCCTAGCTCACCTCATCTTCATTTTCCTCATTATTGGGCAAAAGTGGATATTGAACTAAATTTTCTCCTTCATAAATAGCCTCAACATAAAGCGCTATAGAACTCGGAATATTTTCATTATCAAAATCTGAATAAAATTTTTGTTGTTCAAATTGAGGGCCATTTTCTATCCATTCTTGAACTGGCAAAACATCCAACATTAATTCTACTTGTTCAAATTCTGTTGCCTCTCCAAAATCAAGTTCCAAATGTTTACTGACAAGTTTTGGACCGAGCTAATGAAGAGAAAAAATTTTTGGAATTTTTTGACGAATTTTTGAGTACCGTTCCATTAGGAAATCGTTGATATATATTAAGCCTTGTAGTTATTTGTCCATATTCGAATTGTTCTGGTCGTCGAAGGAAAATATTTAGACGTGCTGATGTGACAAACTTTTTACGTAAATCTGCCCCGAATCTGAAGACTGCTGCTTGGAGATTCTTTAATTATTTATTTTTATTTTCTACGTAATTTTTATTCGAATTTTCATAAATGTACAAAATTGAAACACACTCTCAACAATTAAAACCTTGGAGAGTCCTTCGTTCTCTAATTAATAGGGCTGTCAATTCTAGTGAAACCTTCGGATATTCGGAAATGAAAAGAGAAAATCCTCGGTTTTGTTAATTCAAACTGGCATCCCTCAAAAATAACTATAGCTCGACTTGGAGAGTCGTAAGAGAATCGAGATCATTATCTCAGATATCGATCTCGATAAACGAGACGTGTGTTCGAGATCTCGTCTCGGTCCGGTCTCTATGAATAACCTTGAAATATGTCTTTATAGATATCTACTAATCAGGCAAGAGTAAGTTAATCCATTTATGGGGTAAGCAGAACCCGACGCCCCCCCCCCCCCATTTATTATCAAAAATACCAAAAACCCAAAAAATTCCAATTACCTGGTCAAACCATTCAGGCGCCCCCTCTGCCAAAACATAACTCGTTTGTAAAGGCTGTTCTCGTTCTGTCTCGTAAAGTGCCGGGAAGTAATCAACACCATCTTCAAAAACTCCGTCTTCGTCCGAATTTCGTCTGCGCCACTGCTGGATGGACTTTAAATAATTTTAACGAAAAATTAATTTTTTCTCCTAAATCTCTAGAAATTTTTTTTTGAAAAAATTTTTTTTTATTTTTTAAAACCAATAAGCTAAATTAAAATTTAAATAATTGAAAGATTATTTTAGTCTGATAGGATTTTAATTATAAAATTGTTTGCTCTTATGGATTACTGTATGAGAGAAATTGAATTTTTCTAAACAGAGAGAACGGTCAGGAATAATATATTGTCAGTATATGAAAGTCTTTGGATATATCCGGTTCGGACAGAAGAAAACGCCAATCTTAAAACGCCAACCCTAATCTAGAAGACAAGAAAAAAGGAAAGAAATATTTACAGGAATCGAACCTGTGACCACACTGATAGTGCTCGCTTGGCCTAGCTAATACCTTTGCAAGTGCTCTATCATCGAATCACTATCCTGAAACTATCTATTTACAGTAGATTGTTTTATCAGTAATTGTTTACAAATAATACAAGAAATGAGCCAAGAAAAATTTTTCCAAGGAATATCGAAATATTATTCGACAAAAATTTTAATTTTAAATTTTAAAAACTTAAAAGTAACAATTCCTTAACAATTTTTTTGTAATTTTTAACATACTTTACGCACTCGGCGATGTTCTTGGTTATGTTCTCGACGGCTTTGTTCAATTAATGCTTGTATTCGTTGATTGTGTGGGGCAATGAATTTTAAGGAATTGTAGTCGACTGTTACATTGGGTTTGGCAGGCAATTCCAATTTTTTTAGTAAATCTTTTAGAATCTGGAAAAGGATTTTTTCTTAATTTTTTATGGCAAAAAAGGGAATTCTTAAGAGGTATTGTCTAAGTATTCTTCCAATCAACATAAAAAGGTTTGGTCTTGGATGTTTTTGGGTGTATAAATTAAACGATCCAGCTTTATGGGGAAAATCTTGGCTCTATTACACAATATACGTCCAATCGACTTTTGTACGTCCAATCACAAAATTATGCGTCCAATCAAATAAATTTGGATATTTCTTTACATTATGAATTCGGAGTTGGGCTCCGTCACAGTTCTGCATGTTCGAGATCTACGCCCACTGGGTATGGGATCTAATATATACAGTATGGTGAATATGCACACTTAATAGTATTTTTTAATCCCCACAAATTTTTATTTTAATTAATTAAACTTTCTAATTAAATTTAAAAAATATTTATTCCCCAAAAATTTCCATTTAAAATATCTTTCAAAATAAATAATTAATAACCTGTTCTTGACGTAACCTTTTGTACTCTTCAAAGGCTTTTTGTTCGCAAACAGAGCATGCAGAAGATAAACAAACACTACATGCCTATAAAAAGTATTTTAAAATAAAAGTTTATTTGTTTTACTATAAAAGGGCAAAATAATTGCAGTTCTTTATAAACTTTAAAATAAACTTTGAGTTTTAAAAGAAATTTGATTCTATATTTGCAACATATATAATTTTACATTTTACTTTGTACAAATATTATTTGTTTGTTTTTAGTTTATTTAGTTAAAATGACTAAGCAACAATGATTGATAGATTTTTACTATGTTTGTCTATACTGATTTGTGTTTCGTTATAATGTCCTGGAGTAAGGCTTGCAATTTCAAAATTCATTTTCAATCGGCATATACACGTTTTTTAATTTTTTACCTAATTTAAATAAATTCTCTAAGGTGATTGCAATTATATTTAGCAATTTTGTGACTGGAAGTTACGAAACGACAGAAAAATGACTACATCATAAAAAATACATGTATATTAAACTATTATTTTGCTATTTAAATTTATACTTTTGCAGATACCTATCACCATTAAATAAGAAATTAAGGTTACAATACATTGTATTTGTCATTGAATACGTAATGAGTGAATGACAAAGATATGGTGGGAAAATATCAAAAATGTATGTGAAGGAGAGAACTTAAGAAATACTTATATGTAATTTTCTATTTTTAGTACGTTTTATTTTGATATTTTTGGATATAAATATTGGAATGATAATAGGATTTTGAAACTAATGGTAATTGTTATGGAAATATCAGAACATATTCTGATTCAAGATCTAGAAAATTTGTAAGATACTATATACTTTTGGTACTAATGAGGTCTAAAGTCTTCGAAAAGGGTTTTCTTCCCTTACGTTGTTTTTTTAATTTTATCTATCCTTCAGAGCCAAATCCCAACATGAAAACAGAATCGTTATATTGTATACCAATCCTCATGACTTTTCCCTTCTTAAAATTAGACAGTCGCGCGATACTTTAATTTCCTTTAAATTTTCTGCAAAATTTTACACATTCCATCGTAACTAATCTTCCATTTTTTTACATTTTTGTGTCCCCCCGAGACATTGTACTATTAAAATATATATTTTTTTTATTTTTTATTTTCTATTTTCGTTCTTTTCACTTAAGCTTTGCGCTTATTATTTTCTTTCTTTTCTGACGTAGTTTTTTTTATATTTTTCCTTTTAATCCATAAAACAAATTTTTTATCCTTTTCCCTTCCGGCATTAACCTTAATTTGGCTCAAAGCTAAACAGAGAATATTTTTATTTATTCCCCTCAGGAATGCTTTCGATTATCGTAAATTGTGTGCCATTCAGCTTGTTTCCGACTAATTGCTTCCTCGATTGCTTCCGGCGCCTAAGCTTTCCCTTTCCCTCCTTTTTCTTGCTATCCATTAATTTTAAGCTTTTATTTAAATTATCAGTGCATTTTAAAGAGGAAAACAACAAATACGTAATAATTATTTTCTTTTAGGGGAGGGGGGGAGGGTCAGTGGAATAAGGGACCAATTAACTAAAAACTTGGTATAATTCTGAAAATAATTTTAAAAATATTTTTGGAAAATAAATATGATGTTGTTAAATAGAGGAGGAATATTAGAAGTATAAAATGGAAATTAAATGAAAAAAAAATTTTTTAATTGGAAAAATAAAAATATAAGAGAGGCAAAAACCCTCCTCTTAAGAAGGGAATTTTCCTTTAAAAAATTTTTTAGTTTTTTGCAGACATTGTCACGGATACTGATTTTGGTATCCGGATATTTACGGCGGATACAGGCGGATATCCGTAGGCATTTTGGTATTATCTGTATCTGTATCCGTATCCATGACCAGGTCTGATCGTAACTTTTTTTCCTAACAACTAGAATTTTTAACAAGGAGATTTTTTGTTAGATAATTCTTTTTTTATCCAAAAATATCAAATTTATTAGGTAAAGTTTGTTTTATTTAAAAGGTATCGAGGGGGTTTGGCGTTTTGTTTGACAGTCTGTTTGTTATATTTAGATTTTAAGTAGAGAGCGGAACGGGATCGGGACCCG